GGGTCGTAAGTAGTTTCAAAATAATTTTGAAAAGCTTTTATCTCTTTGGCATGAGTAAACATACCTTTCTCTGCTGGTACCTGCACATCGAAGGCATCAATTAGTTTCTGTCGAATTGTAAGTGTATCGAACATACAAGTTTGATAAAACTTAATCCACCACTCCAGAAATCCTTTGGCCGCGAGATGGGTAGGTTCGAAGGCTATCAGCTCAAATTGGGCAAAGCCTTGATATTGTTCTTGCTGGATCTTGGCTTCCCTTGCCTTGAAAGTTCGACCAGAAGTGATGGCGCTCTCGGTTTGGAACAAAGGTTCAGGAATCAGTTGGCATAAGCCAAACTGCCTCGAAACGAAGTTTGGTTGGTAGGCAAAAAGAAGAATTTGGTTCTTGGCTGGGGTTATCCTTGAAGAGATGAGTCTAGGCAGCAAGAAAGCTCTCCATACATCCTGAATCTCCTTGCTCTTGATGGCTTCTGAGAGAGCCATGGTGAACCAAGAAGGTCCATGAGCCCTCGAAGCAAAAGGCGCCATGCTCTCTTCGAACTTGTGCCTTTTGGAGAATATCATGATGTACTTCGAGAATTGAACCTTGAAGTCATCTTTGTCATCATTAGGAGTAAGTCTTCGAAGCCTAGTGCCTTCGACTATCCTATCACTTATTTCAGAATCTTGCTCATCAATGGTGTTGGCGGTTGATAAGGAAGGTTCGAACATGGCATTTAGCCATAGTTGGAGTAACCAAAATGGGCCAGCTAATAGAATGTTTTTGGAGGTGTGGGATTTGAGGCTCGAAACAGCTGACCTCAGGCTCTCATATAGGTCAACTAAGAGTAATTCACTTAGGCACACTTTGCGATTTTCATGTAAATCCCTAGCTAGAGGAATGAACCTACTAGCTACCTGCAGGGATCTACTGCAGAAAACGTATCTAGACAGCCATAGGGTTAAGAAAGCAATGTGCTCTACGTCAGACACATTGTCCCCTTCAGCATGATAATGGCTGATAAATTTGGAAAAGCTGGCTAACTTGACTTCGAAGTCAATGATGCTTGAGTGCTCTTCGTTGTCAGGAACATAAGTTTCTCCCACTGGCGACAGTCCAGTAATGGCCGCTATATCGAAGAAGGTGGGGGTAATCATTCCACCTGGGAGATGGAAAGTGTTGTAGGTACTATCCCAGAAATAAAGGGACGCAAACAGCAGAGGATGGCTATAGGTGAATCCAGGTTTCGATAGCTTAATGAGGTTATAAATGCCTAATTCTTCCCATTGCTGGGATTTCTTGGCTTCTACTTTCGTGAACCAATTTTGATAGGCAATATCAGAAGTAGGGCAAGATCGAAATGGCTTAAAATTGCTTTTTACATAATCCAAAACAAATGGGTCCTTGGGAGGAACAGTTGGGGTTTCTACGGTATTTGAACTAAGAGATTCTACTGCCCTAGGGGCATCCATTTTGTTGAATAAGGGTTTGAAGCTATAACAGACGGGAAAAATTGTCCTGGTGTCCTTTAATATTTCAAAAACTGTAAGAGGGCCATTTAAGGCTAACCTCTTACCAGCAACATGGGTAGGGATGAGTACCTGTGATGCGTACAACATTTCTTTTTCTTTGGAAATCATTTGAGGAGCAAGAGCAGATTGGCCTTGAATAGTGATGATTTTACTCTCCATGGTTGCTCCTGTAGTTTTTCCTTTCTTCTTGGAGATTTTCTTGAGTTGGGATGAAGTGGAAGAAGACATTTTTTGTTGTTTGAAAGCTTGGATTGTTTTATGAGAGAATCAATGGTTAAAATTCTGAGTATGAAAGGTTTAGAGTGTGAAAAGAAAAGAAGAAGATTAAGTTGATGTTTTATAATGAGAAGTTTAAGCATCCACCGAATGAAGGTGTGATACGTGGAGATCATGGGTTGGTGTGATGAAGAGGTGGCGTGAAGTTGATATAGGTAATAGGCGTGATTTAAAAATAATCATTACTTATAACTGCACCATGCTGTGAAGTGACTCCGGGCGGTTAAGGAATCCAAAAGGTGCTATGATTGATGTGACTGGAGTCAAATGCATTAAATGTTATGATAATTCGAAAGTCCTATCAAAATCTTGTATAAATGTTTAAAATAGGTATTTCTCAAAGAGATCGAAATACATATTTTAAAGGGGCAATTTGTTGGCTGAAGATTTTGACAATGTTATTTAGAAGCCAAAAGAGTTAAAAGTTCTGATCGAAATGGAATTAAACGCCATATTTCGAAGTTGCAGAAGCAGTGTTCGAATAAGTGTGTCAAAGCTTGAAGCTTCGAACGGTAATTATGGGAACATATCCAAAGGAGTCTCGAAACAACAGCGAGGCTATGTTTGGGAAAAGCGTTCGAAACGGAGAAACACCAAAGCATTTAAAATTCAAATGGGAGCGGGACTTTCAAAGTTTGAAAGTTATGTGTTGGAGCATTTGGGGACACGTGGAAAGATGAAAGAAGCATCGTCTTGCATGTTCGAAACGTGGCATAATCCTGTAGCGAGACCGTTAGGGTCGAATTAGTATAAATAGAAGTCTTAGTATTAGGATTTCGGTGTGTCATATCTGTTATACAAAATACTCAATAACATTCAAACTACCACATGGCAAGGGAAACGAATGCAAGAGAAATGTATGTATGATAGCACCATGTATTTCTAACTTAATGAAAGCCTTTTACCATTTCCAGTACTTTCCTCTTTTCTCTTTGTCAAATAACATTTACAAGTTTTCTTATTTACAGTCTTTTCACTTCGAAGTCTTTTCCTCAAAGTTCTACATTTTACTGTTTTCTTCATATTTCGAGCACTTTATATTTCAGAGAACTGTCACATTTTCAATACCTTTACTTTCAAGTATTGTTCTTCAAGCACATACTTTTACTTAAAATCATTTACAGATTTCTTGCATTAAACGCTTTCTTCACATTTTAAACTTCTACATTCCAGAAACCTTTCATGTTAAACGTTTTGTAAGTCGAAATCATTTACTTCATTTTCATGCAGTTTTATATGTCTCTACAATCAGCATTACAATTAGCATTTATTCGTATAACTTAGTTTTCATATACATTTTGACTACATTTTTAGACTCTTAGAGAGAGGGATCGAAATAAGCCAAACACTTATACAACATCAACCATGAATAATTGTTCGATTGCGAGAGTAACCTTAATATCCAAGGAGTCCTAGGATCAATCTAGTCGATCCTGTGAGTTACCCGAGAGATTGAATAACAGTAAGAAAGATTATTCGATAGTTTGGAAGACTAGCGGTTGTTTACCAGAAATCACTGGAAACAGTAACACACTTTTTAAAGAAGGTTGAGCTCCAGGAGTTGTTCTAGGCATAAAATAATTACCAATACGACTAGTATTCTTTCTCTTTTGAGACACGATCACTAAATTTGATCTTGATTGTTCTACATCTATTTCTACTACACCACCCTCTTGAGTAGTAAGATCAACATCAAAATTTTGTGCTTGAGTCTTTCTTCTCTTATTTGCACCTCCATCAAGATTTTGTTTTATTTGATATTGAACATCTGGAGGCACCTGTTTCAACTTGACCTTTTATTCCAGCCAAATTGAATTTGAACCTATTAATCCCCCCTCCTCTAATAATTTTATCACAGTAAATACACAAATTAACAAGTTTTCCTTTCTCTTCAATTTGTTTACAATGACCCCAAGCTATATCAGTTTTTCCCTACTGCTCTAGAGTTGAGTTGGATTTTAAGATGTAACTTCTTCCGAAGTTATTACTTCAGCGGGTGATGCCATATCTAATATCAATCAAAATTTTAAAATACAAAATTATATTACAAAAATATTAACAAAACACAATTCTAAACAAAAATTATTGAATTTATAAAAACATTATAAGAAACATTAAATATGTAGCATATCTAAATCCAAAATATATGAATATGTTGTTGTATATTACATATAGGCTACCAAGCATCGTTACTGTGCATCACCATATATAATAAAAAAATTAGAAACTTTGCTTTCCAGCCTTTGCTATATATTTTAGATTAATAAAATCCTGAAAATTTTCTTTGTTATATAATTTAAATTAATAAAAAACAGAAAACTTTGTCTTACTATATAATTTAGATTACATAGTTTTAAACCCAATTTCTATCTCCATAATATATACAATACAACGACTATTACAATAATATGTATATCTATCACAATTTTTATCTCTAATATACAACAACTTCATTACCAGTCTATAATAAGTTAATTCATAAAAGTATAAAACTGCTTTATTCATATAAATTCTATCTCAATTTGTTAAACTAAAAGACCCAATTTTATAGAAAATGATTAAATTTAATCATTTATTTTCTATATCAATTAATCAACAAAATAAAACAATAATATTCATATTGAAAAACATTAATGCAAATTAGACTAAGTATAAAAGAAATAACCTGTTTTTGATGAAATTTTTGACGGCAAACACAAACAATGAATATCAAATAACAGTAGCAAGTGAGAGTTTTTGTTGATAGAGAAAATTGAGAATATGACTTCAATTAGAAAAAGAAAAGACAGAATAAAAAAGAAAACCTTTCAAATGCCTAGGTTTGGGAAACGAGGAGGCAAAACGTTTATGTTAATTTTTTTTTAAAAGTCCTAAAAAATAAAATAAATAGTCAAACCCGCCGATTCAGTAAAAACTGTCGGTTCACTGATTTAATCGATGATCCATCCGGTTCACACCAGTTTCATCCGATCTAAATGTAATTCCAGTCTTATCCTTTAATCGGACTGCCTGACTCACCGGTTCTCAGTCAGACTGGTCCATCCGACCAAGTCGGACTGAATTTTAAAACACTGCTCTAAAATTTATATATTTATAATGAAAAGAACTTATTTAATGCCTATAAAATTATAAGTAGGAGTATATTAGATTATAAAGACACGAATTGGAATATGCAGCATTCTATTTAAAAAAAAAAAAAATGATAAGTAGATGAAGTACATGCTTAATAGAAGGGGATGGATGAGGTAACGTGTCATGTGAATGTGACTCGTAACGAGTAGCGCGTGTGTTTATGACGCAATCAAGTCGCGTGGCACGTCAACACTGAACATACAATTCTGAAAAAGCTTCTATCCCTAAACTAAACAACCCTCTCACTTTCCTCTTTCTCTCTTTGTTTTCTTCTTCTCTTTCATCTCAAATGTGGAATTTCATCTTCTCCTTCCACTTCTCAGTTTTATAAAATTTCACTCAATTTTTAACTCACTCAAATTGGTATAAGCATAATTTTTTATTCTTTTTTCTTGTTTAATTTTCGCTAAAATTATTAATTTGAGATCTCGGTTTTTCAGGTGAATTTGGGGAAATTTTATTTTGAAATGAACAAAGGACAGTCACCGGAGCCGCTTGATTTCTTCATCTGGACTGTTGAGGTTCATTATTTCATTCACACAGTTGGTTTTATAGTTTTTAATTGTTATTTTCTGATGAAAAAAACTATGATTTATAATCAGATCTTGTTTAGATAAAACTCAGTGTTGAACTTGCTGTATGGTTAATTAGTAATCTGAGTTGTTTTTGTCTCTCTATCTTGCAAAGACACCTCTGGAAAAAAAAAGTTATGTCGGTATTAGTGCCGGGTGGCTAAAAACGACACTGACACTTGAGATTACGTTTTATTAATTCGTTTTATTAATTCAATTTTTCGACGTGTTGGTTTCCGGGTCATGTTTCTGATGTTTCTAGTGTCTGTGCTTCATAGTAGTTTCTTACTTATGTTAATTAATTGATTTGTCTTTTCTAATGAAGTTTTGTTTTGTGTTGGAATTTGATAGTATTTGCTATGTTAAGATAGTTTTATTAGCAATTTGATATGATGATTGTTGGGTATTTATGTTTCCTTTTCATACTTGTTTGAATTGTGACAAATTTGGAGTAGAGTTTTGGTTCTTAGACTATCTTGTTAGACACAAAGCTTAGGTTAGGTGGTTAAATATGAGATTAAAGAAATTCTTTTGATCTTGTGTGTTGAAAAGTTGAATGTGATATTGAAAAGTCAATTTGGTTAGAAGCATGGTTTTGGATAGAATATTATGGCGAAGTCGGTCCATGTAGCCGACCCCACTTAGTGGGAAAAAACTTGGTAGTTGTTGTTGGAATTTGGTGGGTGGTGTTCAAGTCCTTTCAAAGAAATAATTTGCTAGTCAAGTTTATGCGTGCCCTATTGAGCTTGCTTGTGAATCTCATCACCTTTATAAGCTATAGTTTATGTTTGTGATCACAAGTTATCTTGTTTTAAGTTAAATTCCCAATTAATGGCAGACAACTTTGTTCAGTTTTTTTTTCCGTTCAGTTTGACATTCAAAGTTTAAATTATCAATTTAAATACCGAGTTCTTAACATTAATATCTATAACACAATAACAATTATGTAGTTTTTTAGTCCTGCGGTGTATGTCAACACCTTTTTGTAGCATTGGAAGGTGGAAATCCTCATCTTGATGAGTTCCCGTTCCCCCGGCAACGCTATCAATATGCTTCTTTCTGAGATATTTGCAGTTATGACTGTAATATAGAATGTGAAACTAGAGGCCAATTTATCATCTGTCTGGGTTATTGTGCCCTTAGTCCAGGTCTTTGTCGGTGATATGATATGATAAGCATATGATTTATCCTTGTCATTCTACTTTGATGCTGCATTATGTGTGTCAAGATCTCAAAATGGAAGTACGATTCTGCTTATATATTTTTTATTGTTTAAGCACTTGCTTACCCAGGGCTGTTTCAAAGGTATAGATTCTACAGTGTAGTTAATGCTCTGTGATCAATGACTGATATGCGTATTTTCTTGTCTGTTTTATAAGGATGTTGGCATGTGGCTGGAGACTATAAATCTTGGTAGTTATCGGCAAACTTTTAGGGAAAATGGTGTTAATGGCGAATACTTGGAAGGGATGTCTATGTTCACGACTGAACAGATCCTTCGTTTCATAAGACGTTGCCACATGAAGTGGGGAGACTTCATCACATTATGCAAGGAATTGAGACGGATTAAAGGTTTCCTTCTCTCCCTTGAACAGTAAATACAAAAGCATGCCATTAAAGTATCATTTGAATTTTTTACCAATCTGTTTTGAGCTCTTCGCCTTATTAGGTAAGGCCTCTACATCATCGTTGTGATAATCTGTTTCATTTCATGCCATTTATGAAGCCTAGATACTCCAAAACTGCCTACGTTTCGGTTTCGTGCCGTAACTGATATCAATACACATATGATACATCTATATACGCATCCAATGAGTATCATCCAACTTTTTAAATCTTTTTAAAAGAAAATATTGATTGATACGTTTGGGATACCTCTTCAATACTTTGATTTACATCTCCAAAAACTTTTCTCAAATCTTTTTTCTACAACCCTGCTCTTTATCATGTGGTGAGTGGAATTTGAGTGCATACTCCTTTATTCATTTATTGGTTGTGGGGTATTAGTCAAGATGTACATAATCAATTTGATGATGGTGGCGACCACATCTTGAATTGGAAATACTGTCTCCTGGTGAATTTGACTTGGAAGCTAATCCTTTTAGGATGACAAAAATGGTGGGGTGAAAATGATACAATTGAATATTAGTAAACAATTAAATTGTCAACACTTTTAAATACTACTATTTTTTTTACAACACTTTGACATTGGTTAGGGAAAAGCACATCTGTTTTTTGATATGGATAAGAGAGAGATACAGTGTCTTTGCTTTTATCTTATGAGCACAAGTAGAGATGGCAAACGGGCATGACCGCCCTGTTTAGGTCTGCCGCACAAAAAATGAGGCAGACATAGTTGAGGGTGTAGGCCTAAAACTTTGGTCCGCGGGCATTGCATTTTAAAGCCTAAGATTGCAAAAACTTATGTTAAAGCTCGCACCCGCAAAAGAACAGGGCCGGGTAGGGCGGACATATTAGAGGGTGCGTGTATAAAACCATGGTCTGCTCTGCGAAAAAGTGCGGGCAAAACAGGCATGTCTGACGGACTAGGTCCGTTTTGCTACCACTAGCACAAGAATCTTTCTGCAAGATGTGATCATCATCTGCATATATAGTTATATATTAATATAAAAATCCAGTCTTTGCAAATACTACGCATTACTGTAAAATATGTATAATATTTTAAAATTTTGTGTTGATGTATTTATACTCCTAATCTTATATTTAGATTTTAAGAACTATTCTGTTGTGTATCAAGTATTTGAGCTTCATAGCATTTAAGCAATCTAAGTTAACATGAACTTATTAGATTAGATTAGATGAGAGATTGAAGTATATGTTAATGCTATGTTTGGATAGGAATTAGTATAGAAGGCAGTGGAATGAAAATACCATACCCCTTTGTTTGGATATTTTATGATAGAACATATCAATACTAAAGATTCCATTCCATTATTTTGGAAGTGTATGGAACAGTTAAAGGATTGAAATTGATTTCCTGCATCCATTATTAATACAGTTGTCACTTTGATAGAGACAAGACAACCATCAACATGTTCTCTTCTTATTAGTTTACACTTATTATCTAACATTGTTAAGCATATTCTAAATGCAAATTACATTTACACTTTTCAAAACTCAGTTGTTAAAACATCATCGACTCGAACATGTGACATGTTTAATGGATAAGGAGACATGAAAAGTGCAGATGTATCTTCTCTACAACCAGATACATTGTGTTTTATTAAACTGCCCCTAACTTCTTTGTGCTGTTGTTCACGTCTGTAGTGGCTTGTTTGAAAGGGGACCAAAAGGTGCGGCGGCCGTGGTGGGCACCGGCATGCCTGTCAACAGTGTTCTTAAAGGTTGCAAAATCCAACAGACAGTCAAGAGTTGTTTCCTTGAAATTGGAACCATGATGAATGATGATACTGCACAACCTTTGCATGTGTTTACATATAGCAATTTTCTCTCTGCCTAGACAACAGAATATAGGAAAGAACTATTTTTAGCTTTTTCTTTTTTTTAATTTCAATTCCAAAGCGTGGTTGTTTATTCTCCTCTGGAGAAATCTTATGTAGAAGGTCCTCTTGCACTAAAATCTGGTGCTGTGTAATTATGTATTATCTCCTATATGAACATAAATACAATATATATGTTGTTTTGTGCAAGTTTAATTTAAATATCTGTTTTCTACATTCTACCAACACCCAAAGTGGAGAGTAACTGATACATTATGCTGCATATATTACTTCTCTTAAAAACTGGATTTCAACACTTGTTTAGGTCCTAAACATGCGCTCCTAATACTTGAATTATGGTGCATTTCCTGATGTGGTCTTGTTACTAAGAATCCTGTTTCTTGGAAGGTGTATTAGAAGAAAGAAAGGTGGGACAGGAGAGAGAAAAAAATGGGAGGCCGGTGAGGTGGCAGGCACCACTTGATTATGTTAGAGTATATAGGCAAACGAATTCTGTTAGAGTATGTGGGCAAATGAATGACTGGAGCTTCTACTATTTTCCTCACTTTGTCACTATTTTATTCATTACCATGCTACAATTTATCTTTTGCTTGTTCTAATTTCCATCATTAGTAGTCTGACATGTCGGATTACGAGAACAAATTAGTGAGACTCTTTATGATAGAGTCGATGTATTGGAAGAGAAATTTGACGCATTGAACGGATGAGTTTCAGAAGTTGGTGATGGCGGAATTTGTGAAGTTTAGAGAGAAACCTTCTTTCGAAGTATGGTCCCTCTTTTTTGATGAAATGGGTTCGGATTAAAATGGTGGGGAAGAAGGTGGAGCTATCACCTTTTGTGGACAATTACATAGTTTGAATATAAATTTTGCCATAGACTTATAGTGAGTTGCCAAAATGAGCATCAAGAAGCCCTTTTAGCAAGAAAAGAACTGGAAAATCGTAACGCTATTGTTTTCAATCGTGCCATGGTGAAACTACCGCTCAAATTGCGCGCGCCACACTTGGACAACATCATGGCGCAATGTGTTGTTCAATAATGTGTTCACATGTGGAAAAATGAGCAAATTGTGACACGATGCTTTTGGATTGTGGTGTGATTCTGACGCGCATGAACCTAGTTTAAAAGGAAAATTGTGAAATTTTGCATGGGGTTCAAATTTTTTATGGGATTTAGACTGCAGTAAAGATTTGGAGACCGAGACCAAAGATCGAAGCCTTTAAATTGTGGAAGATCAATTTTCATCTGAATTCATGTATCATTCCTTAAATTCTTTGGCTATGAATAAATGTATTATGAGTAGTTAGATTCCTTTGACTAGGCCTTTAGATGAATATATTTTGAACAATTTAAATTATGTAATTGTTGAATAATATTCTATAAAATTACAATCCTAATATTATTCAGTTAAGTTTGTATTTAATATCTTTTATATGTTGACTATTGTATGAATTTATTCCAATCTGAAAATAATTATTAACCCTAAATTATACATCAAGTTTTTGATATTGTTGTCAGAGATTGTTGATTAATTTCAATAAGGCAATTAAATTATACTTAAAATTATTAATATTTTATTTTTTGTACTATTTTATTTTCTTGTTAATTTAATTTTTTTAAAAATATTTTATTATTTCTTATTGAATTATTTTTGAATTATGTAGTGTTATTGAGATAATTTTTCTTTCAGATTGTGTATGCAAGGTGAAAGCTCTAGCGAATTGCTATTTAATTTAGGGATCGAAAAGATAACACGAGCAAATCGAAAAACAACTTGATTGACAGAAGAAGTGTATAAAGAAGACAACTAGACCGATAAATAAGAAGTAGTTATGGCTAACGATTAACTTATGAGAACTATGGGAGATTATGATAGAAGGATTGATGTTGGGAAAAAAATTCTTGAGATCAAACTAGAAAATCATGTTGTTATTAATATCAAAAATACAGTTTAAACAAGTTTAAGGAAGAATCGATTTGATGGTAATGCTATTAGAGATCCATGAGAACCCCTCTCTCGTTTTTATGAAACTTATCCTATATACAAATCAGATGGAGTAATTGATAGCCAGATAAAACTCAGATTATTGATTTCACTTTAATCTAGAGATCAAAAGATTGGTTATTGTATTTATCTAACAAGACTATCCATACTTGAAAAGAATTACAAGAGAAGTTTTTGGAACGTTATTACATGAATTCCCGGTTCGTGGAAAGAAGAGCGAAAATTTTAAATTTTGAACAAAGTCAATCCGAATCTCTTTATGGTGCTTGGAAGAGGTTTAAATTATTTATTGAGAAATGCCCTAATCATAATATGGAAAACATGGAGCAAACAAATTTTTTTACAAGGAGCTTAAGAGTTCAAATTCAAATGTTTCTTAATGTCTCAGTTGAAGATATTATAAAGAATAAAAATGAAGATGAATTGAAACAGTTGATTAAGAATATATGTTAAAATAAATATCATTCACAAAGTGACAAAGCTATAAAGAAAAAAAGGTATGATAGATGTTCATACTCAAACTTCTCTATTGGTGCAACTTGAAGCTTTAACAAAACAATTAGTCATCGATTAGTCATCGCTAAAGTTGTTCAAGTAAATGTGAGTCAAGTCAAGGTGTTAATATGTTATTTATGTGGTGAATGTCATGCATATGTCAAGTGTGTACCAGAAGGACAAGTTGAAGAGGTTAATCATGTTGGAAACTTTTAAAAAATGAATCTTTATTCCAACACTTATAACTCATGATGGAAGGATCATTCAAATTTTGAATGGAGAAACAATCAAAGTCAAAATGCTACTCAAGGAGCTCCTAAGAATTCATCACTTAGAAAACCATCTTCGTTAAAAGATGTTCTGGACTGGGCCCGCCCTGACCCAAAGCATGGATAAAGGCCCAATCCAAGCAGCTCCTCAAGGAGTGCGCGCCTGCGGATTCCCGCCAGCATGCCCGACCATAGACTGCAACCATATCCGCCATTGCCCACGACATATGGTGTCCCCGACCAAGGGAACTCCAGCTCGAGTCCTGCTCGAGCACTCTCCCCGTAGGGCAGATTCTGTCCTCCCTGACCGTTATCAAATCATCTAAACTCCGGAAATACCGTGTTTTCGTCCCTCCTCATTCTTCGCAGAGCATCACCAGGAATGAGACCACGTGCGGGGCCCCACTACACACGTAGAACATGGTAGTTCCTTTATTGGGCCAGTTCTGGTCGGCCCAATGAGGGGACCTTGGCCCAGCGCTGGGGACTATAAATACCCTATGTTCCTAGAGGGTCAGGTATTCATCTCTTATGCATACATACACTCTTTGCTTGCTCATTTCATCACTCATTTTAGCATCGGAGTGTCTTGCAGGTACCCCCCCCCCCCCCCCCATCTCACTCAAATTCTGCCCGAGCCAGTCGTGACAGTCCAAGTCTAATCAGGTAAGATCAGTGGCGCCGTCTGTGGGAAGCTAGCTTCCCCGTCTTGCAAACCCTCAAAGACCAAAGCTCAAAGTCACCTCCTACCGTCATGGCTGACCAAGTCCGGGACGAACATAACATCCGCGTCCTCGACGTCAACAACAACCTCGCGAATAAAAACAGAATTCCCGACAACACCGGCAACCCCGACCATAGCACACTCCCCGGGGGCACCATCCCCGGGCCCTCAGTCCACCGCGACGGAGCTACTGCCTCATCTTCTTCATTCCCTCCGCCGCTCGAAGAAGTCAATGCAGCTCCCCCAAACTGTTTAGCTGCCCAATTTCAGGAAGTCCATGTCCCTGCCGGGGCAGATGCCACAACCCGCGCACTATTCGCGGCGATCAATCAAACCAACTACCTCATCTTTGCCTAGGGGGAAAGATTGAGGGTGCTAGAAGATGATAGAAGACCCGCGAGGAGACACAGGAGGCCTCAGACTCCACCTCCTCGAGTAATAGAGGTACATCTCCCATCTCCCCCGTGGAGACAATACAGAGACACCTCCTGAAGCCCGTTGCCCCGACCGTCGGGAAAACGACCCCCCTTGGAGAGGCAACCCGTCATTGAAGCCGGAGGGCGCAACCATGGCCCCATACGGCAAGAAAGAAGACACTCTGGAGACAGGCACAGAAGAATTGACCACGAGCACCCCGCTCGAGGGATACCCAGCACGACCAGGACCGTCGGGCACGACAATATCTCAGGTCCCCATCCTTGTCCCTGGAGCGAAGTGACGAGGACGACCCCCGCGGTCCCCTGTCACAAGCCATCATGGAGGCGCCTATTCCCCCGGGCATGGAGAAGCCTCCACATCTGAAAGAATACGACGGAGTCGAGGACCCAGTCGACCACATAGACGGGTTCGAGGCTATGCTGCATTACCATAATGTTAGGGGACCCATCAAATGCCGGTTGTTTCCCACGACCCTCAAGAAGGCAGCAATGGATTGGTATAAAGGCCTCGCCCCGAGATCAATCACCCCGTGGCGAAACCTGAAGAATCAATTCATAAGTTCGTTCACTGCGTCTCGGCAACACCCAAAGATTGAGGCAGCACTCGAGGCCATCATCCAGAGACAAGATGAAACCTTGAGAAAATTTATTAATCACTTCAATCACGAAGCCATACAGGTCCCCTGCGTGGACCACATGAAAAGGTACTTGCTGGAGAGGGGGCTCCTCCCCGACACGGAATTCAGAAAGGCAGTGGGCATCGAACCACCCCGAACGTTTGATGCTCTCCTCGAGAAGGCCCGCGCATATATGGATTACGAGGAAAGGGAGGCGGCCAATAGAGACCGGGACCCCAGAACTCGCGGATCCAGTAGCAACCCGCGCCAAGAAGCCGCTCCTCCTCGACGAACCGGGGAGAAAAGAAAAGAGGGCAGATCCCGAGAAGTCCGAGAGCAAAGAGGACCCTCGGGGCGTTTCACAGAATACACTCCGCTCACAGCTTCCC